TATTATTTTATTTCAGGTACTATAATTAAACATTGAGAAATGGCTGAAAATACTACTGCATCAAATGCAGAGGAAAAAGCTACTTCCTCAGCTATGACACAATGTTATGAAAATTATATTATAGTTGATGTTGGTGCCAATCTTACTAATAAAAAATATAGCAGAGATTTAGACAGTGTAATTCAGAGAGCAAAGGATGCTGGGGTACAAAAGATTATGGTAACAGGTGCAAGTATTCGTTCCAGTAAAGAAGCATTAAGATTAACTAGGATATATCCTGGAACTCTTTATTCTACTGCTGGTGTGCACCCTCACGATGCAAAATCATGGGAAAATCCTGATACTTTGCAAGAACTTGAAAGTATAGCTAATAATCCAGAATGTGTAGCAATAGGAGAATGTGGTTTAGATTATAGTCGTGACTTTTCTGATCCTGAAACACAACGTGCTGTATTTCACAAACAAGTAGAACTTGCATGTCAGTTAACTAAACCACTTGTAATACATGAAAGAGGTGCTCAAACAGATGTTCTGGAAATCTTGAATCATTACAGAAATTGTTTGCCACCAGTTTTAATCCATTCATTTATTGGAACTGCAAAAGAAGCACAAATTTATTTAGATCACGGTTTCTACTTAGGTATTACTGGATATTTATGTAAGGATAAATCTGATAGTGGCATAAGGCAACTATTGGAAAAAAGACTTGCACCTTTATACAAAATATTAGTAGAAACAGATGCTCCATTCATGTATCCGAATACTAGAGCCAGTAAACTACCTGTACATGTTAAAGATGCTCTTACTGAACGATCCATGACATTTCTTCATCGTTATTGTACTTTCCAACGTAATGAACCATGTGCCTTGCCAGCAATAGTGGAAATGGTAGCAGCATTTATGAAACTTACTCCAGAGGAAGTTGCCTTAGCTACTGCTTTCAATGCTTTAAAATTATTTGGTCTAAATCAGTGATGTTAATAATCATTATTTCTCATTAAAAAATGGTGCTATTTGGTGCTATTTAACGTTTTAACTATTCTGTTATCGATATATTGTCCCCTTTCATGTTTAAAAGCATTACTTGTGTGTTTATTGAAATGTCTTTCATGGTAACAATAACAACAATTTACATTAATATAGTTTTGACAACAATTGTAGGAGGAAAATGTTATAAACTTTATTTATACTTTAATAGATATTCCCTTCTATACGTATATGTTACTTATACATACATTATGTTTATGCAAAAATACTCATCAACATATTAAAATTAGCACTATGTACAATATTTTACTTATAATGAAAATTTTGTAGAAATATGTATTAAATACATAGAATCTGGAATCATACAATTTTATTGTTGATATTATAAATATTTTCATATAAATAAATTGTTACACAGATGAATAATTCGTTGTAAATATTTCTTCAAGTCATGGAATCCCAATTTCATTTATTACAAAAAGCCATAAAATGTATTAATATACTACATATTATTACATACTTAATATGAAGTTAAGTTATAAATAATTTATAACAACTACGTTAAATATGTTTAATATGTTTCATAAATTACAATTATTTGTTATGAATTGCTTAAATATTTGAAATATTATTACACTTTTGTTCTATAGCTTGTTGAAGATGTAGTACCTTTTCTTTATTAGATAAATTTTCCCACAAATATGGGTTTATAACAAACGGATAATATCCTGGCAATTGTTCTATTGCTTTCAATTGTACTTTCACCGTAGATAACATATTCTTTACATTGACAGAATATGCTCTTTTTGGAAAGATAAAAAAGAGAATTCTAAAAGAGAATAAACATATTTTATACTGTTTTAACAAAATAATTTAACAAAACAAACATTAAATTAATAGAATTAACATTCCTTACTTATTGCATTCTGGCAGTGAGGCTAACTCTTCAATAAATGTAATATTATCATAGTTGCTAATATCCATAAGAAAGCCATTTGGTTGTATAACAACAACACAATCTGTGAAATAATGAAAGTAAAAAATGTAATTTCAAAGTTTATCATTATAAATTCCTAATTGTGGTTACTCATAAGTTATGTAGTTCTTAATTAGTTTAAATACTTAGTTCTTACCAACAAATTGCCCCCATTTTGTTTGTAAACCACTTTTCACATATTTATCGCCTTCACAAGCTTCTTTTAACCTTTCCATTAAAGAAATATTATCCTTTTCATGTATTTTTTTATTTTCAATTTTATTTAATTTATTTTCATCTAGCATAACTTTATTATAACTAGGATAAAGAAGTTTAATACACCAATGTAATTTTAAAATATTTTGTATAGTTTCATTATCAATTATTGACATTTTATTGTAGAAAGTGAATATCCTTTCTAAAAATTCTGGACAATAACAATTCAAAGAAAGTAAATGAAAAGTAACAGGTATTATACTTTTTGTGGAACAATCTAGATTAATAATATGCTCTTTTAAAATTGTTTGCATATTTTCTCCAAGTTCATAATCAGCAATAACAAAAGCCTTAGTAATATAATATATGTCTTCTAATGTACAGTTTCTCATGTAATTTGTATCGTTACAACATGCTTGTATTAAATCATTTAAGAAAGGAGTATTGCTATAATACATCTTATTCAAGTACTTTAAAACAGTTATTCTCACATGAAAGGTAACATCACTCTTTGATACAGCAGAAACTAACACATTTATTAAACCTTCATCATAAAATGCCATTGTCCTGTAAAAAAGAAAATAAAAGAAAATAAAAAGTGTCAACTAAAAATGTCTTATGCCTATAATTTTAATTATTTACTGCTTACTCATTTGTATAGCTGCTAGAAATGTAATAAAGTATGGTTTCAATATCACCCAATCTAAGTCTCTGATAATTATTTTTTATTACATATGTTATAGAATTCATAAGTTTCTGAAAGTAATGTCTTTGTGGTTGAATATACAATGCAGAGATAATGTCTATTACGTTTTCTATTCGTAATATTCTTATATTCTTATTTAAAATACTCAAGATATATCTTCCTGTCTGTATATCACCAATAAAAGTAGAAAATTTAAGAGCTTTCATCAAATTAACACTTTCTGAATTAAGTTCAATTTGTGCTTGATTATTAAAAACATGAGGCAAAGCAATAAATAAAGAATTAGTCAGAGGACACTTGTTTAGATTATGCAATATGTAGTACACAACCATTATTTTTGCAACAGACAAATCATTCACAGAAGCACGTATTCTTTGAAGTAATGTTTGAATTAGTACAGTATCCTGTGGAATATTCCACTTTATTAAAATTCGTAAAGTCTGTATAATGTTATACATGGGTATAGATGTTACATTTGTACATATCACTTTGAACAAATGTGCAGCTTCTTCCGATTTTTTAAAATTTTCATAATGCAATTTTCCCTTTCTTCTAAACTCATTATTAACAATGTTAATAATTACAATAGCTTCCTCCCATTTCGTAGTAGTAAAATTTAGTCCAAAACCTTGAATGTTGTTCTTAATTCCATTCTCTTCTATCTTTGAAAACTTCAATCTTTTTTCAATTGTTTCATTTGTTTTACGAGTTAAAGTATCTACAAGATGTATAATATGAATAATATCATTGAAAACTGTTAAAAAAATAAAAAATTTAACAATTACCTTCAGAGAAATACATATGGTTTTGTATTATACTATAATTTGATAAAATTGAAC